TGATGATAACATTCTGTGGGCGGTTCTCCAGGGTTCTCTGTGGGCGAGGTGACGGTGAATTCCTCAGGACTCCTGCACCAGGTCCAGCTGCTCCACTTCCACCAGGTAACCCCGACCTCGCTGGGACCAGAACCGTCGTGTCCTACGCTGCCAGCAGCACTTAAACGCCTCTGTGTCCTCAGGTGTACCAGGCCTTCCGGATCAGCGTGGTGAGCAGTTGCCGTGGGAACGCAGGTAGGCGGCGCTGGGCGTGTCTGGGTCTGCATCCCGCCCTCTCGGTTCCACCTATGTTCTGCTTTTGTGTGCGCAGACCGACTCCCCAGCGTCTACCGCCTACGGGTTCCTTGGTTCCGAGAGGACTCCTTCACCACAGCCAGGTGACCTTCGTATTTCAGCCCGTTGGAAAGTTCTGAGGTTCTGGTTTGACCCGGTTGGTTCTGTGTGCCAGTGTGCCGTCGGCCTCGGAGATCTCAGGGATGCTTCACACCAGTGGCCCTGGAAACGCCTCTACTGTCCTGCTGCAGCTGCACACCGCCCCCAACTGCCAGTATAAGGTACTCCAGGACCTCCAGGTCCAACTCACCTACCAGAACCTCATCAGAACGGATCAGCAGAACCGAACCACCAGGCATTGCGGTGGCGTTCCTCCTCCGCCCGGTGATTCAGGTTCAGCGGTTTATTCAACGTGACTAAACTTTTCCTTCAGCTCAGTCTTCCATCGGACAGCTCACCTCCTGAGCTCTGACAGATCCAGAGACTGATTGGGTCCCACCACCAGAACCTCAAGGTTCTACCAGAACCGTTCTGATGATGGTTGTAGTTGCGATGAAGGTTGTTGACCAATGAGTGAATATCCTCTTTCCTGCCTCAGGTGTCGATCAGAACCTCCTTCCCCAAGGTTCTGGGACAGGTAGGCCACGTTCCTTCATCCTTTCAGAACTTCTTGTTGGGTTTGCTGATCTGAACCAGAACTGGATCGGTTCTGTTTCAGGTGCTGAGGTTCTGTGGTCCCATGGTTCCGGTCTACACCGCTGTCACTCTCCTGCTGGCCTGCAGGGGGCAGCTGTGCTCCATCCTGAGGTCGGGCGGAGCAGCAGACATGATGCAGGTGGTGAGCGCAGGCCTGCAGCCTCATCAGGTTCTCCTTCCTGTCTACCTGCTGCATGTTCTCCTCAGGTGAGCTCTGGCTCCGCCCTCCGTTCCCCCTCACCCTCACCTGGGTCACCTAATGGTTCTGTGGTTCTCTCAGCTGTAGCTGCCTTCAGGACGTCTCATCCGTCCTCGGTCTCCCCCCAGAGGACACTCTCCCCCCCACCTTCCCTGATGGGGTTGAAGGGGCGGAGTCACACGAGGAGTGGCCCCACCTCCTTTCTCCTCTGTTGTATGTTCTGGGAGCAGCTGTGGCGTTCTGGGGCAGCGCTCTGCTCCGCCTCCTCATCCGCCTCGTCTCCCTGTTTCTGGCTCCTTTGCACAGGTAGCGCAGAACAATCGGACCCCGCCGCTGGTCTGTCCTCATTTCTGACTCCTCCCTGCTGTGTTCCTGCAGACCGTCTGTCTCCAGAACCAGTGGAACGCTGAGTCTGCAGACCCAGTTCCTCCTGGGTGTCTGTCTGTATGCTGCAGCCTGGATGTTCTGTGGAGCTCTGGCCATCTTCACCTCCTGTCTGCTCCACCTGTACCGGGTACCACTGCAGAACCTCATTCACTGCATGCAGAACCTCATTTACTGCCTGTAGAACCTCATTCACTGCCTGTAGAACCTCATTCACTGCATGTAGAACCTCATTCACTGCATGTAGAACCTCATTCACTGCCTGTAGAACCTCATTCACTGCATGTAGAACCTCATTCACTGCCTGTAGAACCTCATTCACTGCATGTAGACCCTCATTCACTGCCTGTAGAACCTCATTTACTGCCTGTAGAACCTCATTTACTGCATGTAGAACCTCATTCACTGCCTGTAGAACCTCATTTACTGCCTGTAGAACCTCATTTACTGCATGTAGAACCTCATTCACTGCCTGTAGAACCTCATTCACTGCCTGTAGAACCTCATTCACTGCCTGTAGAACCTCATTCACTGCATGTAGAACCTCATTCACTGCCTGTAGAACCTCATTTACTGCCTGTAGAACCTCATTCACTGCCTTCAGAACCTCATTTACTACACGTAGAACCTCTTTTACTGCATGTAGAACCTCGTTTACTGCATGTAGAACCTCATTCACTGCATGTAGAACCTCATTCACTGCCTGTAGAACCTCATTAAATGCCTGTAGAACCTCATTCACTGCCTGTAGAACCTCATTCACTGCCTGTAGAACCTCATTCACTGCATGCAGAACCTCATTTACTGCGTGTAGAACCTCATTCACTGCGTGTAGAACCTCATTCACTGCGTGTAGAACCTCATTCACTGCGTGTAGAACCTCATTCACTGCGTGTAGAACCTCATTCACTGCCTGTAGAACCTCATTCACTGCCTGTAAAACCTCATTCACTGCCTGTAGAACCTCATTTACTGCATGTAGAACCTCATTCACTGCCTGCAGAACCTCATTTACTGCATGTAGAACCTCATTCACTGCCTGTAGAACCTCATTCACTGCATGCAGAACCTCATTCACTGCATGTAGAACCTAATTCACTGCCTGTAGAACCTCATTCACTGCCTGTAGAACCTCATTCACTGCATGTAGAACCTAATTCACTGCCTGTAGAACCTCATTCACTGCCTGTAGAACCTCATTCACTGCCTGTAGAACCTCATTTACTGCATGTAGAACCTCATTCACTGCCTGCAGAACCTCATTCACTGCATGTAGAACCTCATTCACTGCCTGTAGAACCTCATTCACTGCCTGTAGAACCTCATTCACTGCCTGTAGAACCTCATTAAATGCCTGTAGAACCTCATTCACTGCCCGTAGAACCTCATTCACTGCCCGTAGAACCTCATTCACTGCCTGTAGAACCTCATTTACTGCCTGCAGAACCTCATTTACTGCCTGCAGAACCTCATTTACTGCATGTAGAACCTCATTCACTACCTGTAGAACCTCATTCACTACCTGTAGAACCTCATTCACTGCATGCAGAACCTCATTCACTGCATGCAGAACCTCATTCACTGCATGCAGAACCTCATTTACTGCCTGCAGAACCTCATTCACTGCCTGTAGAACCTCATTCACTGCCTGTAGAACCTCATATACTGCATGTAGAACCTCATTCACTGCTTGCAGAACCTCATTTACTGCATGTAGAACGTCATTCACTGCCTGCAGAACCTCATTTACTGCATGTAGAACCTCATTTACTGCCTGCAGAACCTCATTTACTGCATGTAGAACCTCATTCACTGCCTGTAGAACCTCATTCACTGCATGTCGAACCTCATTCACTGCCTGCAGAACCTCATTTACTGCATGTAGAACCTCATTCACTGCCTGCAGAACCTCATTCACTGCCTGCAGAACC